AGGCCATGCCTCACCCAGACAGCAGAGTACCACTGGGTCTAAAAGTGCACCCAGGCCTGAAAACATGGAGGACCTTACATACAGCTTACTGTACGCAAGGAGTTGGCCTGAAAATGCTGTGTGCTATGCAGTTCCCATACATGACATCCCCTGGGTAGAGGTGGGGAGTAAGATTGGGGTGTGCTAGAGGCTAGAGAGAAAGAAGGGCAAAGAGATGGAGCAGAAAATTGTCACTGAACCCAAAGATAGTGGTGATGAGATAGATGCATGCTGAGCCCTGAAATTGCTAGCACCAGTAGCAGAGCTTCTCTCAAGCTTGGACACACATCCGCAACGGGTTGAATACCAGTTCACAGGTTACTGCACATGTACTGCTCAGGTATGGGATGTTGTGCTGGGGGAGGTTGTATACACATGAGGGCAGAAAATGTAACCTTTTGTCCTTTCCATCCAGTTTTGTTGTGACCCCAAAGCTGCCTCCTGAAACCAAAATGTATTTTTAAAAGAAACAAGGATGCCTTGTTTATATGAATGATAGAAAAAGATAACAGGTTATTCAAAAACAGCAAATGCGTGGAATGCGTTGGTCATTGTTATTCAAAGGTTGAGGGATACATGGTAAGATCTAGGAAAAAGTAAAAGACTTTGGAGCCAGATTTTTCAGCACAAGGCAAACTGCTCCAGAGGCTCAGCTCTCAACTTATACAGTGCAGTTTCTCACTCTTCCCTGGTACGTTAGTGTTGCACAGCTAGGAAGCCATATGCGAAGAAACGCATGGCAATGGAATAGACTAGAAAAATAGGGTAGAATCAGCTTGAGTCGCACAAAATGAGGCAAGATCAGACTTTCAGCTCTTTGGTGTGGATATGTCCCTGCCCTGGTCATGAGGAGAACACATACATATGTCACTTTCTTTTATTTCTTTTTTTTTTTTTTAAGACATGTTTTCCCTGTGAAACTTGATCTGTAGACTAGGCTTGGCCTCAGACTCAGAGATCTTCCTGCCTCTCTGTCCTAAGTCCTAGGATGAAAGACTTGTGCCAACATTGCCTTTGACTCATCTGTCACTTTCTAAGCTCCAGGCCTGTTTTACACCACCTCACTGTTCCTTCTTTAGTGGGACATGGAATGGAAGATCAATGCGAAGATTCTTCTAGTAACTTCAATGTGTCCTAAAGAAGCAATGATTGTATTCCAGGTGGTGGTGTGTGTGTGTGTGTGCATGTTTGAGTATGTGTGTGCATGTTTGTGTGTGCACACAGATGTGAGTGTGGGTGCCTGTGTATACAAGTAGAGAGCACAGAGAGAGAGACTTGTATTTAAGTTGTCCAGCAATGCTGAAGAGTCCACAATGTCTCTCTGTCTGTCCTCACTTTGTCCATGTGTGTGCACACACTTAGCTCAATGCCTGTGTGAGTGTGTGTCATACCCAAGGTAGGATGACTGTGCCCTCAGAAACCTGAGGGACATTTGTGAGGACCTGGTGTGCTGAGGAACAGAGTTGAACAACTTGTTTTAGGAGATGAGATGAAGGGAAGAGGAGGCTCAAAGCACTGGATTTTTGTTTGTTTTTAGAGGCCAAGAAAGGATCGTGGACTAATGATTCCAGCTGTTAAATGAGTCAACTGGCTAGCCAGGAATCATTTTAAGATTTATCTGTATAGTCAGTTATTCTTCTGAGGAAAAAAATGTTTCATGTTTATTCTGGATGTTATAATTTTGAGTGATTTTGCAAAATACCTTTTTATTCATTAGTATTTTATGAAAATATGCTGAAAGAAAAAGGTGAGACACAGTCACGGGAGCCCCAAACAAATGTGCACATTAAGACTCTGAGGGTTAATTATGTATTCAGCAATACTTAACCCTAACAGGAAAACCACATACCTCAGCCATGGGTAGAGAAAGGAAGTGTGTATTGGATATGAAGTGATACCTGGTAGACCCAGTTCTGATTTACATAAAAACAACAGAAATATCTTCATGTCACCAAATTGAAATGGAAAGATAGGCACTACTGAAGAAGGTTAAGTATTCCTTAGACAGCAGCTGTTTAGACAGTAGATTCCTGCTGGTTTTAGACTTTTCTTTTAGAAATGTGTGCTGCTCCTGCCAGTGGCATGAAGGATTTCTATCACAGTCCCCTCCCCTTTTCTTCCTTTTGAAGAGAAATCACTTAAATTTCTCTTAGTAAATAAAAGACTTATACAGTGTAACCGGGAAAAGGAAAGATAGTTACAGATTTTCTAGTTTTCTTTTTCTTTCATTCTCAGTCCTTGAATAGTTATTCCAGGGACAGCATGAACAATGGGGGTGGACTCTTGCTACAAAATATCAAGCTGGTTAATCTTTTGTGAAAGCTCTCCTAAGCTGGACCACAGCGAGACCAGCTCCCAGCCCTGCACCTGCGACGGCTTTCCCTCCCCCAGTCCCATCCCAGCCACTGTTTACTCAAGGACCCAGCAAGCCTCTCGCTTGCTTGTCACACTGGGCAGCTGGACTCCCACAGTAAAATTCAGCCTCCTTAGTTGGGATTCATCTCCTCCAGCAAATGATCCACTAATCTTTGGACACAAGCTCTGTTTCTCACTTAAAAGAGTGTGTTTTTCGCTTGGCACCACAGCCTTCTGAGAACACACACACACACACACACACACGCACACACACACACACACACACACACACACACACACACACACACAGGCTTGTCTTCCTCCTAGGGCCTATCATCCTCTGAAGCTGTGCAAAATTTCATTCCAGGAAGGTAGCAAATAGGTATAGGATTTAAATTGACTAAGATTTTCAAATGCGTATTTTGTAAAAAATGGCAGGTGGTCACAAGTGATGGCTCTCGAGGCTGAGGCAGGTGGAGTGTCTGGAGTTCGAGATCAGCCTGCGGTGTATAGACTAAGGTTCTGTCTCAAAACAAAACAAAAACAAAAAACAGGCCAGGGAGGAATGGGGATGAGAAGGTCGAGAGATAATACAATAAAATAAATAACAATAATGGTAGATGCCCCCACGTTTCACATGGAACAGGAAGCTGAGATGAAATACCTCCCCTGTATCTAGAGTGTAGATTTGCCAGGTGATGGGGATTCGCTGGCCCCACCCCACCCTCCCTCCAGGTCCCCCAAGGCTGGGAAATGCAGGCGGTTGAGAGGAAAACAAGAGGACGTCTCCTTGTCCGGAAAGATGGATTTCCAAACACCACATGAATTTTCTGCAACTTCAGACTTCGGGTCAGCCAGTACGACCATAAATTCTTAAGGTTCCAGTGGCCTTAAACAATAAGAGAAAAATGCCAAAGTTATCAAGACTAGTGTTTATTTCAATTTTACATGTACTTGGGACGGCGCTTTTCTTTAGGATGAATACAAGAAACGTCTTTTAAAAAATAAAAACAAACAAATAAATAAAATGATCTGCGAAGAACTGGCACCATTGTCTGTCCGGGGGCGAGGGTGGATGGGAGATGAGAAGCCTACTGACCTGTGCAGTACACCAACCTTAAAGGAAGTGTGTTTAGATAATTCCACTAGTCCCGGGCGGCTGATTTCTCGGGTGAGCGACTCCGGGTGGGGTGAGGGGCTGTAGATCTTAAAAAACCAGCCCCCAGCTCTGGGGGTGGGTGAGTGTGAGGAAGACAGGGTGAGCAGCGACGTTAAACAGAAAGCAGAAAGCTTCTTTTCATTGTCCTCGGAAGAGCTATAGGTGGGTAAAAGACAGCACAAAGAAAAGCGAGTTTCAAAGGAGCCCAGCAGAGCGACCAGGCTGGGGCCGTCGCTTCAGCGGCGGTCTTTGCAGGAAAATAAGAAATATCTTTGTTTTAATCGCGAGTACACCTCATTTTAGCTTCGGTTTGTACCGTTGGGTTAAAATAGCAAATGACCCAGAAGGTGCGTGCTGGGAAGCAGAGCCGGGGTTTCAGGACCGAGCTGCAGGGGAGGAGGGCGTGGGTGATGGAAGGAGGAGGCCGGACGCGGGGTTGGGGGAGGTCTGTGGCGTAGAGAGTGGAGGAGGGGCGGCGCGCAGAGATGCTGAGTCCCTGGCCGCCCGTGGACCCGTCCCGCCTGACACCCAGGACTCCTTTCGGAACCCGCTTCGGAGCCGCGGAGCCGGATGGTCTCAGCAGACCGTTACTCGGACCGAATCAGGGGCGGCGTGCGATCTAGGAGGGAAAATGGGAGGGGGAGGGACGGGACAAAACCCTGCGGGTGCGCGGGGGGAAGGGAGGGCACGACTGCCCGGCTCCAGAAAGGGGGAGAAAGAGAACCAGAGGATGAGCCCACGTGCACGGCGCCGCGCGGTGTCGAAGCGCCACCTTCCGCTGAGCGGCGGCGCAGAGCGATCGCGCGCGGGTTCAGGGCGCGACCCGCCCGGGACGAGCGGCGGCTGGCACCCACTCGCGGCACCCACTCGCACCGTCTGCATCGGGGCTCAGTCCATCGTCCGCGCCCTTGAGTCCGCGCTGGTCCCCCCGGCTCGGTCCGGCGTCAGCCCTGGAGACACGCACTGCTGGGCGCACTCGCAGATTTCTTTTGAAAAAAATAACATATTTCTAGAACCCCCCCCCCATCTTTGCAAACTGGCCCGGAGGCGGGGATACGGGCGGGGCCTGATGTTAATAACGGGAGATGGGAGGGGTCGGGCATAGCCATTGGCTGGCGGGAGGAGTGATGTCACCCATATGACACCCTGATAACGAGTTGAGAGAGAGCCCTCAACTTTTTGCAGAAGAAGCGCGCGCGCCTGGGAGTACTCGGGGTCCGGCGCTTGCGGCGGCTGCCAGGAGCGGGGAGAGCGAGAAAGCGAGCGAGCTAGAGAGAGAGCGCGCGCGGGTCCCGGGCCGCCGCCGCCTCCTCTCCGGTCGCCGCCGCAGCCGCCGCCGCAGCAGGGAACGGGACCGGGGAGGAGGGGGGCAGCCGCGGACGCGCGCGGCCGAGGACTTTGCAACTTGCCGGGGAAGGTGGAGGGGCGGGAGGGGGAGGGGCGCCCGCGCAGGAGACCAAGCGCCCAGCCCCGCCGCGGACCATGGTGCAGCAAGCCGAGAGCTCGGAAGCCGAGAGCAACCTGCCCCGGGACGCGCTGGACACCGAGGAGGGAGAGTTCATGGCGTGCAGCCCGGTGGCCCTGGACGAGAGCGACCCGGACTGGTGCAAGACGGCGTCGGGCCACATCAAGCGGCCCATGAACGCCTTCATGGTGTGGTCCAAGATCGAGCGCAGGAAGATCATGGAGCAGTCGCCCGACATGCACAACGCCGAGATCTCCAAGAGGCTGGGCAAGCGCTGGAAGATGCTGAAGGACAGCGAGAAGATCCCGTTCATCCGGGAGGCGGAGCGCCTGCGCCTCAAGCACATGGCTGACTACCCCGACTACAAGTACCGGCCGCGCAAAAAGCCCAAGACGGACCCGGCGGCGAAGCCCAGCGCGGGCCAGAGCCCCGACAAGAGCGCGGCGGGCGCCAAGACGGCCAAGGGCCCCGGCAAGAAGTGCGCCAAGCTGAAGGCGCCGGCGGGCAAGGCGGGCGCGGGCAAGGCGGTGCAGCCCGGCGACTGCGGAGCGGGCAAGGCGGCTAAGTGCGTCTTCCTGGACGACGACGACGACGAGGAGGACGACGACGACGAGCTGCAGCTGCGGCCCAAGCCGGACGCGGACGACGACGACGACGAGCCCGCGCACTCGCACCTGCTGCCGCCGCCGGCGCAGCAACAGCCCCCGCAGCTGCTCAGGCGCTACAGCGTGGCCAAGGTACCCGCCAGCCCCACGCTCAGCAGCGCGGCCGAGTCCCCCGAGGGCGCGAGCCTGTACGACGAGGTGCGCGCGGGCGGCCGGCTGTACTACAGCTTCAAGAACATCACCAAGCAGCAGCCGCCGCCCGCGCCCCCCGCGCTGTCGCCCGCGTCCTCGCGCTGCGTGTCCACCTCCTCCTCCAGCGGCAGCAGCAGCGGCAGCGGCGCCGAGGACGCCGACGACCTCATGTTCGACCTGAGCTTGAATTTCTCCCAGGGCGCGCACAGCGCCTGCGAGCAGCCACTGGGCGCGGGCGCGGCGGGGAACCTATCCCTGTCGCTGGTGGATAAGGACCTGGATTCCTTCAGCGAGGGCAGCCTGGGCTCCCACTTCGAGTTCCCCGACTACTGCACGCCGGAGCTGAGCGAGATGATCGCGGGGGACTGGCTGGAGGCGAACTTCTCCGACCTGGTGTTCACGTATTGAGGGGCACGGGGCTCCTCGGGAGGCAGTCGTGGCGGTCAGGATGGCGGGGGGAAGGGGGAGAAGATGCTCACGGTCAGAGATGTGGCGCAGAGAAATTGGAAAAAGTGATGAAATGTTGGTGGAGTTAAAGTGAAATTGAGTAGTTTAAAAACAGATTTTCCAGGTTTTTTTTTTAATTTTTAAAAAAAATTTTTTTTTGGTCTCCCCCCACCCTTCCCTTCCTTTATCGTGTCTCAAGGTAGTTGCATACCTAGTGCGGAGTTGTGATTTTCCCCACCCCTGAGAAAAACGTGTTTTGTAATTTCTATTTCTTTTTCCTGAAATTCGTGATTGCAACAAAGGCGGAGGGGACCGGGCGGGGGAGGGGAGGAGGCCCCGCTCCGGAAGGCGCTGTTTGAAGCTTGTGGCTTTTTGAAGTCTGAAAGACGTCGGCAGAGGGACCCTTTTGGCGGCACAACTGTTACTCTAGGGAGTTGATTTTTTTTTCCTTAAGAGATCTAAAAAAGAACTGGTGATTAAAAAACAACAACAACACAAAAAAAGGGACCATTGCAACCTTTTTTGTTTTATTTTACTTTTTTGGAGGGAGAAAGCTGATGTCTTCTATGCATCCAATTTCTCAAACTGCAGGGAGCTTGAAAAAATGCAGTCTGTACAAACGCTTACAAAAAAAATCATAACTGTGAACTGACTTAAGAGCAGAGTTTACTTTTTCAGATCAAATTGTTTATGGTTTTACAAATGTGATTTCTACTTGGCAACCTTTTTTTGGTAACTCGTTCCCTTATACCTCCTTGATTGAATACCTTACAGCCTACACCTCAGTACAAAAGGTATTGAAACATTTTTGATACATAACAGACCTCAATCTTTTTTAAAAATTAATATATTTTCAGGCGTATTTTTGTACAGTGAAAAGGGAACAATCTTGCTGTGTTTTTTCAGTAAGACTTTCAGGCACTTCTTCCCTTTTGATTTTTCTTTTTCTTTTTTTTTCTTTTTTGTTTGTTTTTTTTAGCATGCAAATATGTTGGTACGTTATGTCCTGGTTTAAAGGATTGAAATTTTAAAAGTAATCCTTGCATCTAAAGGCCTTGTGGTTAAAAAAAAAGCAAACTTTTTTTGTACAGCTATAGTAGAGATTTGTTCAATATTTGTAGGTAAAGATTTATTGAAAATGGTGACATAGACCTCAGAGCTGTTCTTAGTTTAAGACTGTATGTACTGTACCATAGTAGGACCTATGTATCTCATCGCTGTGATGTGTGGACGGGGCCCCAGACGGAAGGTTTGAAACTGGATTCTCGATTTTTAGCAAAAAGAAAAAGGAAAGGCACATAGTTTTAAATTTTCTCATTTTGTGCAATATAATCTAAATAAACAGACCATTGCATATTTAGTAGCAAATGGTGGCGAAGCAGACTCAACGCACTGTCGACATCACCGCCCGAGTTTTTGGGTTTGTGTGTGTGTGTGTGTGTGTGTGTGTGTGTGTGTGTGTAGTCTGTCTTGATTTTAATAAATCAGCAGGAACTGATAGAAGCTCGCATGGCCCATAGTCTCTCTAAGTCCACCGGGGACCGCGTGGTCACGGCGCGGCGGAGGGCGGATTCCGCTTTTGGAGCCCTTAGGCTGCCGGGTAGGTGGCAAGCCGGTGTCCTCCCTTCTCACCCCGCCCTGCATCTCCACCCCTGACTCGGGCTGTGCGCGGGGCTGTGCGTGGTGGGGCGTGGGGCTGGTGTGTCCGCAGGGCTAGGCCTCGGCTTCTGGCTTTTTTGCTTTTTTTTTTTTAACCTTTTTTTTTTTTTTCCCGCCGCATCACTGCGTGCGCGCTCAGGCGGATGCGGGTGGAGAGGGCCGCGCCCTTCAGGGGTGTTCACGCGGGTGGGGCTCGAGGAAAACAAACGCGCCTGATGCCACCTCCACGTTGGGCGGCTCGGGGCTTTGGAGTCTTGATGGAGGGAGCATCTGCCTCCCAGGGCCCGGGCCAGCCCTCCCCTCCCCCCTCCAGCCCTGTCCCTCTTGAGGTCCCGCGCGCAAGCCCAACTCCCCAGAGCCCCCCGGCTCCTGCGGCGGAGGAGCTGTTCAGCGACGAATTGAAACTTTGTGCCAAACAGCCCGAGTCTAGACAGAAACCGTTACTCGAGCGCTGGCCGCCGGGACTTGGCCACTCGGGGTCGCGGCCTCAGGCCGGGGCCCCACGCGAGTCGCAAGCTGCAGGTGGAGAGCTCGTTGCCACCGAGCGGCGCGCTCGCACAGCGCTCGTGGGTGGAGGCCGGGCGGGGGGGCTGCGTGGCTTTTCTTCGCCCACCCCTCTTCCACGGCGCGCTGGTGTAAGCCACACAGAGACCGTTAAACAGGGAATAATTCCACCAGCGGATAACCCCACCAGCGGTTTACCCGGGGCAGTTTCTGGAGCTTACAGAAAAGGCATTCTGAGAGTCTAGAGATCTTTGCATTTGCATGTGTTTTCCTGTTTTCCATCGGGCGTTTTCTGCGGTGAGGGAATTTGAAAGGTGTGAGTATTTGGCCTCGGAATGGAAACGTAGCTGTGATTTGTATGTTAAAATTATGTGGCCGAGTTTCTTGGCAGGAAAATAAGAGACAAGTCCTTGGCGGTAGAAAAAAAAAGAATTTTTTTAACCCTGTTAGAACTCAGGACAGGCGCTCGAATGCGCCTTTAACAATATTTAAAGCAGTTTAGACAAATGCATTGTGAAGACCATTCCCAACGAACCCTTTATTGAATGTGTAATACACACGGTGTTCCTGCCACTAGCTAGGCTTCAATAAAAGTTTAGCTGCATTTTTCCCCCTCCTAAGTAAGTCTTATTTTTAACTGAGCATTGACAGTATCTTAAAATGGTAACGTGGGCGTGGGCGTTGTGTGCAGAGCAGTCTCGCCAGTCGGGTACCCTGCTCCTTAACTAGTTCACAGACTCGAGTGCGGATTTTTGGCGAGATTTCCATCTTTGAAGAAACAAATACCTGAACCACCATTCTCTTATTAATTCTTTAAGCTATGGAAATACTTTTCCAGTTTCTACATTCTCGATAATGCATCCTTCTTAAAAAGAAACGATACGAATGAAAGGCAGTGTGCATAGATTGTGCAAATACGTGTTACGAATGACTACGGTCACTGGGCAAGTTATTTGTAGAGTGATTAGCCTTTAGCTAGGGGAAAAAAATCATTGCAGCTCTTTTGGGCCTGGGTGGTTCTTTTTAATGTTAATGCAGGGGAAGTGATTTAAATATGCATGCTCTTAGCAGTCAGGATCTGACTTAGTTGTTTTGAGACAAGAAAAATCAAAAAGGCAAGGTCTACTTCTTTTCTCTGGGAATTGAAACCACAACCATCTTGATACTGGGATGGTGTAAGAAATGGACATTTGCTTCACTTCAGAATTCAAATGAGTTTTGCCCAAGGAACTGGGAAATGAGGCAAATAAGTTGCTCAATTTTCAAGTAGTCATTCAATAGAAATATATTCCATCACTCAGCTTTTTACTCTCTGGTGGGTATTGTATAGTCTCACTGTTTTCTCCTAATGGGCGTATGTATCTTTGTGGACACTTGGAAGAGAGGTTTTTCTTGTACTCTCTCATTTCTAGAATCTTTATACTCTTTTTCCTGCGAGGTTTTCTGCTTCTAACAGATTTCTGAGGCAACTATATTTGTGCTTTTTTCTTATGTAGGAAGACCAGCGAAAATAGCTTACTGAGTTGTCAATTTTATCAGTAGATAAGAAACTTTGTTTATTACAGTTTCAGGGAAGGTTTTTCAGGATATTTCTCAGTTATTCTAAGGGCCAAATTTTATAAAAGAAATTTCCATTAGGAATGTCAGTTTCAAATACCCTTTGTATAGCCTATGGCCTGTAAGGATAACAAGCCTGAGCCTTACATGTGTCCGAACAGGAATCCATAAGTCCCCAAAGTAAACGTCTCCATGTAACGACTCTTGACACGTTTCCTGAGAGTTGGCTTATTTTAATTATCGATTCTTTCTCACTGTCCATTCTAGGTGATTTATTCTGCCATATCTCTTGGTTTGGTGATCTCAACATTTTTGCTCTTTGGTAACAACTCAGGTTTTGTTTATGGGTTTTCATGACCCCCCCCCTTTTGTGTGATGCTTACATTTTCATCCACAGTATAATGTACTGAAGCCAAGCTCATTTCCATTTCCTTACTGCTGACTCCTTTCCCCCCCAACTCCTAACATACCTTCATTTTTTTTCCACCATCTTATTTTTTTAACACTACCTAGATGCATTAGCTGCCTGATTAGTTTATCTATTCCATGTGGATGCAGTGAGTTTATAAGAGAATTTCACAAACAAGTAGTTTTTTAGTGAACTTAAACAGAATTTTAAAGGAGACCTATTTTTATACTCAATAAAAGCACAAAGGTGCATAAAGTATAGCATGGCGTACAAAGGGAAATCCGCTCATAACGCTCCATGTATAAAGTAATAATTTTCTTGGATAGCGATATTCTTTGAAGACCCAGTGCCTCTCTGCCTGTGCCTAGACAGATGTTTTCCACACACCGGGAACTCCCGGTTGCTGGCACTTGACAAACACCCTTCTCAAGAGCCACCAAGAGCAAGAGGCAGGGGCTGAGATGTGCCTCCAGATAGCAGCCTGCCACTAGGCAACCTGGACGCACAGGCGGAGGCTTCAGTCTTACTGTTTGATCAAACTTCTTTTATGTAGTCGCGTAGACTTCATTTTTCTCTTCTGTGAAAAATGACAAAATAAAGCAATATGACAAGTTTGAAAATGCATTTGAAAGAATAGAATTTTCCTCCAGGGTCCTCAAAGAGATTTTTTTCTTTAAATGTGACGCTTATTTTAGGAGGTGCATTACATTCCCCCTTCAAAAACAGAATGACTGGAAATCATCAAAACATAGCATTAAAAAAACTAAGAAAAAAAGAATTTTGATCAAATGGATATTGACAAAGGGCCCTTGATCCCATTTTTCTTCACCCAGCTTGTGTTCAAAATCCGTATGCCTCGTCCCCCAATTCACAGAGGGAGAAGCGTCCTTGGCCACGGTCACGGACCTCACCCCTTCGTCTACTTTTGCTCCTGTACATATGTTGTGGGCGTCAGTCTTTCCCATGTGTTCTGTGACACCTTTGTTTGAATGGACTGTTTTGAAATGGAGGCCTGTGTCTCAGGTGTGGGACACCTAGTGGTCCTGGCGTCCCATCCAGTAGTGCTCTGGGCCAGCCGGGACAGAGCCACCTGAAGTCTGAGAGCAGTTATTAGCATGACACCGTGAACAAGTGTTTCGTTTTGTTTTCCAAGGCCGAGAAATACAACTTTCACAGCCACTCCAGGTTTGGGGGAGGACTAGCTGGAAAGCCCTTTTGTTTAGAAGTCTGAGTGGGTTGTGGGGGGACCTTTTATAGAGTTTGCATGCCAGCGCAGGACCTGTTGCTGTCAGACAGAGAGAGGGAGGGGCTACCTGAGGCAGTGCGCTGGGGGACCGTGTAAGAGTCCCATAGCACTAGGGAAGCAAATGCATGGTGAAGTCATGTCTTCTGGTAGAGGTTATCTAGCATGCAGAGTGTAGTGTGTTGAAACTGTATGACGTTGCTGTATCAAACTTGTAAAATTAAGCATTATTTATTGAAAACTGTATTTTTTTGTAAAAACCTGATCACACAGAGTATCAGTGGCTTGTGCTTTGTACTTCAATCAAAACCAGCTTCGTGACCGCCCTCCTTGGAATGCAGTGTTAATGCTCAGGGTTGAATTCATACACTCCAATGTCTCTTTTGCAGGAGTTTTTCACAGAGGAATACATTTGTTCAAAAGACCAATAAAATCGTGTGATCAATCTCCACATGTGTTTTTTATGTGACTTTTTTTTTTGTTTTCTGTTTTTGTTTCCCCCCACCCCTTCATTTTGCATTGGGTAACTACTGTGTGACTCCTAAAAGTGTTGTCTCGAAGCTGAGAGATTTGAAAAGTCCTGGTGTCTCAGCATCCAACCAGGATCCATAGCCTGGGCAGGACTGGGGCCCTCAGGAAGTGATGATTTGGGCAGGCGGCCGAGCTGCCCACAGTTGGTTGAGCATGGTGATCGTGTCTTGGTATTTTTTAACTGGCCAATAGAGTGAATAAAAAGCATAGGCGAAGTATAGAGGGGTAGGTTAGCCTGTTTGTCAGCGGTAGAAGATGAAGGGACTATTCAGGGGCAGTTGCTGATGTTGAATTCAACGCCAGCAAACTCCATTCCTCAGTGTCTTTTCCCCAACCCCCCTCTATAAACAATTTGCAGTGTAAATGTATTTTGACATAGAAACCATTCTGTATTGAGATTCTTGCTATAAGATGTTTTTATGGAAAGCCTGTAAGTGGTTCTTGCAATTATTATCAGATTTTTTTAAAGATGTGTTTACATGGTGAGTGTTTGTTGCATATTAATTAAATTTGGTTTTGTAGAAACATCTGTGTCGTATCATGACGGATCTCCACGGGCACGGCTTATACACTCACATGCTTGGCTCACACACTCCTAGGTCCTTGGTTTGACCAATGTCAGTCACCTTTAAACCAAAGAACAAACAACCAGGTTCCACGTGTGGAACAGCTCCCTGACTCTGATATGAAATATTTTTACTTCATAGTTGACTTTTTCACAGTGCCTCCACTTGGTAGGATTTGACTTTTATTTTGAGGTTAAAAAAAAGTAGATTCTGCAGCCTTAGTTTTTTTTTTTTAATTAAATAAGTTCGTTGACATTTCTGGCTGAATCACCATTGATGAGACTTATTTCTACTTGTGAACATGGTAACCTCACCCAGCAGATCTAGAATCTATTGTGGGGGTGGGGGTGACCTGTCACACCAAGAGTGTCTTCTTTCACACCACCACTGTCCCATCTTTGAGCTTGGATGGTAACTACTGCTGAGGAAATCCCTCACCCTACCAGAAAGTAAATACTTTCACAAATTGAGGAGCTTGGTGAACTTGATGTAGCCAATCCAAATTTTGACATCGATCAAAGCACGTGTAATTTCACTAGGATCGACCCTTATGACATTCCAGGGTCAGTGGGAGTAGAATGAAGTCCTGGGGAACCCATCTGCCATGATGTATATTATTTGCTAGAACCCAAAGCAAAGAGTATGGTGGCCTGTGAACACACAGTTGGATAGAATCTAAGGGATGGCATGTAGTCAACAGACAGGGTGGCCCCTTTGGGGGCAGGGATGTAGGTTATTTGTTTGCACAACGTTATGGGTTTGGTTCCCAACATTGCATAAACTGGGCACAGTTAGCACCTGCCTACAACCCCAGCACTGGGGAGGTGGTAGCAGGAGAATCAGCTGATGGAGGCCATCAGCTTCAAAACAAAAGTGACCCTTTAGGTACCTCTCTCTAGGAAGCTCAGCCAGCTGTCGGACTGGCTTAGTCATCCTGATAACTTCGTGCATCCCCAACTGAAAGATGTTCCTTCCCCTGCTCCTGAATAAATGGCCTTGCCCCAGGCCCACCTCTTGCAGAACCCCAGAGAGCAGGCTTAATGGCTGCTTGCCACTCTGGACTGCCTGCGGTGCTAAGCTGCTCTGTTGTCATACTCCTGGACCCCAGAGTTGAGACTGAGGACACACACAAAACTTGGAGCTTTGCTGGCCAGGGTTGAATTGGGAAGCTGCAGAGGAAATGGGAAGTCCCAGCAGGTACTTGAACCTGAAATTTCAGAGGTCAGACATGGGGAGGAAACTAGAAAGCAAGGAGATCACCTAAGAAGCCTACAGGAAGATAGAACAAAGTCCCAACATGGCCCCACCCTTCAGTTGGGCTGAGACCACTGGTGGCTCTTACGGATCATTAAGGACCTCTTGAATTTTACACACACACACACACACACACACACACACACACACACACTTTAATTTTGGCTCGAGTGGTAATATAATCAAGTAAAAAAATTACAGTCTCATAATTTTGGGGGGGCGTGGGGCTGCAGTTTGCTCTACAGTGACCTGTGACCATTGAGATGTCAGTGGAAGCCCCTGACTGAGGCAGGGTGGTTACCACGATCAGCTTCCTTTGTCCTTAGCCCAGCAGACAGGTACATGAGGCAAAGAGAACACCTGTGTACTTACTGGTCATCACAGCCAACTACAGCTCCAGGTTTGAAAGAACCCAAGTTATCTTTCCCCTTAAACATGGGCAGGCAGAAGTCATAGCCCCATTTTCCTTTTCCTTGGGGTTATTGGAGCAGGTCTTTATGTCTCCCTACTTTGAGTAGATGTACAAAGAGTTTAAATAGCTGAAGTATTAGGGAGGCATGTCACACATTGAGGGGTACATGGAGGGAGTTACCAAAGCTTTTTGGAAGCATTCACAAGAAGAAAATGGAAATCTTAAGAGTTTCTAAAGCCACAAACTGGACATCAGATTGCCCTGCTTACATTTTAGGTTTATTTATGAGAAAATTTCTCACTGAGACATTTTTTTGGGGGCCCGTGAGGTGGCTCACAAAGTAAAAGTATTTGCTGTGCCTCACTGGAGTTCAATTCCCAGAATCCACAGAAGTTAGAAGGAAAGAGAACCAGCTTAACAGAGTTGTCCTCTGACTTCTCCGTGCGCCTAGAGCCAGTCACACACACACACACACACACACACACACACACACACACACACACACACGCACACACGCATGCATGCACACCAAGCACACACACAACCATAATACATCAAAAGAAAACTAGGATTGCTTTATGTTTGTTGAGCTTTTCAGCCTGGGGTGATACATGGCATGTCTTCTTAGAACATGTATTGGTTCCTATGCTGGAAATTTCTCCCAGTCCCAATCACCTGGTCTCACCAAGTGCCTCTGGCTTCAGTGAGTGGCATCTACAAATAAAGTCCTCAAATATTGTTTGTTCCTAATTCCCTCTTTTTAGTTTTCCAAACACACAGATGATTAGAAGAAATGTAGAGGGGTGAATTGAGAACATGAAGCAGGAGTCAAAAGGATTTGAAGAAACGAAGAAGGAAGAAGAAGATGGAGGTGAAGGGGGAAAGAAAAAGGTAAGGAAGGAAAGGTTAATTTGGCAAGGACGCTCGTGGCCAGAGATCCTCTTGTGTTGAGTGTTTAGAAAAGCATCTGGATTCAAATGGTCCCCAGGTCATCTCTGTGTTGTGTCCTATTGTGAAACTCAGGGCCCATGCTAGAGAGGCTAAGTCATCAGGGAAAGCTCCAGGAAGGCAGGGAAGTGAGAAATTCTGCACTCAACCAACCATTCACCTCTCCATTCTAGATGAAACTGGGAGGTTCTACAAAGATCACTCTGCCAATCCCCTCTTCTCTCAGGAATGTTTTCTTAATACAAGTACTTTTGATTGAAGCTCATTGACAGTGTTTTGGTTTTTTTTTTGTTGTTGTTTGTTTGTTTGTTTTTGAGACAGGATTTCTCTGTGGCTCCTGGAACTCCCTTGGTAGTCCAGGCTGGTTTCGAACTCACAGAGATCCGCCTACCTCTGCCTCCCGAGTGCTGGGATTAAAGGCGTGTGCCACCAACGTCCGGCCATTGACAGCGTTTTGATTTGGGATAAACTAAGCTAAACAGGCCAAGCATATTCTTGTGACTTATCCCTGGGGACTTGCCCTGAATGGGCAGTTTTCTCATACACCAGAACCTCTACAGCTCAATCCAAAGGGTTCATAAAGACAGCTGGGCTGGTCCAAAGAATTTTTTGAGAGTTCGAGCACAGCGGACCAGAAGCTACAGGGCATGGTTATAGAGAGGGTAGAGGGCCTTGGGAAGGAGGTGTAGCCCAAAGCAATAGAAGCCCCTAGAGCTGTTCCAGAATGGTAGGTCCACACGCAGTGAGTGTGAGCCAGTATTTCATAGCTAGGATAAAGAGAAAATAGATTAAGAGAGTGACTTGCAGAAAAGAGATGAGCCCAAGATGCAAGGAGAATGAAGTTTGTTTGTGTTCTGATTTTATGAAAGGGAGTCAGGAAGGTGAGAGGACCCCACATCCATAGGGATGGAAGAAGAGGTGTCAGAGGACTGCTCAAGACATTGGGGTGGGGGTTAAATAGGACCCACCTTCAGTGTCTGAGTCTTTCTGATTGGAGCATGTAGACTCAAGACAAGTCATGAGCTTGCCCTGAGTTAGCAGCCCCATTCCCCTTCATTACTTCCCCTTATGTGACTGTGAAGCTACCTATGATCTTGGGGGCTCAAGGCAGTGGGGAATGAGACTCTAAGGTGACCTGCAGCCTTAGCAGCCTACACTGCACAGTCTGAAGTAGATGGTCTTACATCTGCCACTTTCCAACCAGGAAGGTCTTTCAGGAACATGTGTTCCTCCAATGGCAGCTTGTCCTGGAACTCCCACAGAAGTGAGTCCTGCGGGGCAGTGTCTTAGGGTTTTATCATTGTGAAGAGACACCATAACCACAACAATTCTTATAAAGAGAAACGTTTAATTGGGGCTGGCTTACAGTTCAGAGGTTTAGTCCATTGTCATCATGGCAGGAAGTGTGGTGTCATGCAGGCAGACATGGTGCTGGAGAGGTACAGGAAGTGAATGCCACACTGGGAGTGTGTGGCTTGAGCTTTTGAGACCTCAAAGCCCAGCCCCCAGTGACACACTTCCTCCAACAAAGCCACACCTCCTAATAGTGCCACAACCTGTGGCCAAGCATTCAAACACAAGAGTCTATGAGGACCCTTCTTTCAGAACCCAATCAGAGGGTGGGACCTTAGCATGCAACGTGGCCATCCAGATTGACCTGTATTACGTTTAGTCTTCCTGCCTGCTGCCTGGGCCCTGCTGAGCTGTCTAAACCCCCAAATAACTCATAGAATGCTATATTAATTATGAAGCTGTTGGCCGTTTGCTATGATTTCTTATCAACTAGCTCTGACATAAGTATTTAACCCATAATCTCTAGTCTGAATATTTCCATGTGGTCTTCGCTTACCGGAAACAGGGTCAGGATCTCATACTCCTCTGGCTTCCTACTTCGTGACTGACTGTGCCTCTCTTTTCCAGAATCCTTCTTGACTCTTAGTCCTACCTGTCTTGCTTCCCTATTGGCCAGCAGTGCTTTATTCAACAACCAATAAGATAAGCACATACACAGGACTTCCTCCATCATCTCCTCTTAGAAAAGAAAAGAAAGGTTTTAACTTTAACATAGTCAAATTATATATAACAGAACAGTTATCAAGTAAGAACTATAGTTACCATATTTTATCCATTAACATTTAGTAAGATTGAAAGAAAATATCATCTATCCTATCTTTGTGAGTCTAAAGTCTTATATGTAGCTTATCTTTCATCATAACTAAGGAAAACCATAATTATAACTATCTGTCTTCAACTCCATCAAAGACCACAAAAAGATAATATATAAACACTAGAATTGACAGAGACATCTTACTGCCTGGACAGTCACCCGAAGTTCCTCTGT